AATTATATTTATTATTTAATATGTTTTACCTTAAATATTATGTTGTAGTTAATTTAAATCATTTTGTTTCACTTGATTTTATGGTTTTTAACTTATATATGTTATGACTTACTTTGAATATGACTTGTGATATACAAAATTATTTTTTATTAAATATTTTTGGTATTTTTATTTAATTTTTTAAATAATTATGACGTCGTCCGGTTCTTTCGATCGGTCAGACCGATTCGACCGGTTGAACCAGTGAACCGGTAGCATGACCGGTTCGCTAACTGATCCGGTTCTGAAAACCATGGTTATATTAATATTACTTGCATTTCATCTTATCGTTAAGAATGAAATGGACGTTTGATATAATATGATATAATAATGTTTTTAATTCATTAAATTTATATATTTTATTAAACTTGTTCTTATTTAAAATAATTCAATAAATTTAATCATTTATATTTAATATTTTTTAATACCAATGGTAATCATCCTATATTAATATAAAAAAATTATTAATCTAATTTTTTTTACGATACTATCAAATCAAACGACTCCATCAAATTAAATTAATAGATGAATAATTGCATTGTGTCATAAAATAGCAACACATTAGTATAAGAATATTATCATACTATAAACAAATAATATAATATTGATCGGAGAAGAATAAATAATATAATGATAAGCTTTTTAAATTTTTAAATATTAAATATTAAATTTATTAAATTGTTTCAAATAAAGATCAAATTAATAAATGATATAAATTTTAAAGAATAAGATCGTTATTATATAAAGTCACATCACTATTTTCGTGTAATAATATTTTAATTAAATGATTTATTTATAGCTTTTAGAAGAAAAGTAACATGTTTATTACTAAATCCAGAATTAAGTGACCTTAGTTTTAGTTTACCCTATATATATAAGTATCAGCTGCTTTATTCGTTTGTTTACACGTGTAAAATAAAAGGGTAAAGTATAGTAATGGTCACTGAAGTTTTCTTAAGATTTCATTTAGGTCCCCTAACTTTTAAAACTTGCAATACAGTCTCTAACATTTAGTCCGTTTGTAATATTTTCCCCCAACAGTTACGTCAGAGACCATATTGCAAACTGACTAAATGTTGAGGGACCATATTGCAAACGGACTAAATGTTGAGGGATTATATTACAAGTTTTAAAAGTTGGGGACCTAAATGAAAGCTTTAGAAAAGTTCAGTGACCATTACTATACTTTACCCTAATAATAATAATGATAGAAATCCAGTTTCCCAGGGTAGTGAGAGTGCTATCATTGGGGAACATGTGGGTTTGGGATTTAGAGATATAGAACATGAGTCTTCTCCTGGGTAGACAATGTTAATATGGGCCCTATTAAAATTGCTTCGATCATTGTTACTCTATCGCTCGTTAAGAATACATGCTCTACTGGGCTTGGTGTTAATCCTCCTCACATAAGATTGGACTCAGAGTTTTTTTCCAAACGAAAACCCCAACTAGGGTCAGACTTTTATACCAGGAATAACCCATTTTAGCAGTGGTCAGGGATCAAACTTCTTCAAGAAAGTATATAAAAGATCTAGTGTCCTATAGTCTCGAAACATCTACTGGAAGCTCTTAATACTTGAGAGGTGAGCAGAGTATTGGGTATCTATTTTAAAGGAGGGAAACAAAGTTTGGTAAATAGAGTTGTTAGCTTGGAAAAGGAGAAGGATGGGGTAGATTGTAGATAACCCATCTCGCAATCTCAAGGTATTTTTTAACAACTTTTCTTACGTCTAATTTCTCAATCATTTCTTGGAACATAAGGGGGCTTGAAAGGAATGAAAAATCTAGGGTAGTGAGGAGATTGGTTATGGAGAGGAAACCGGCTTTTGTCTTTCTACAGGAAACTAAAACTTCAATTTTTAAACCGACTTCATTGAGAAGACTGAAAGAAGGTAATTTGCATGGGCACTGTTCTTCGCCTGTTTCTGGTTCTACGGGGGTTGATATCCTTATGGTATGAGGATTTTTTTTGAAATTACATATCAAATTAGTTATCCTAGATTTATTGCAGTTGTGGAGATGATTAAGGATAAACATTTTAGGTGCGAGTTCATTAACATTTATGGACCGGTTGTTGAGGAGAATGATAATTTTTTTAGAGGAATTATTGGCCTTTGTTGAGCAGTTGAGGATTCTTGTGAGCAATGGTGGGGATTTTAATTTGTATATGTCCACGGAAGAAAAAATTGGAGCCTCTCAGAATTGGAACAACATGAATTTGCTCAGAAATTTCATCCATCATTTTAATCTAGTTAATCTCCCTCTTATTGGGGGTCCTTTGCTTGGTGCAACAATATAGAAAATCCTTTTCGGTAAGGTTGGATCATTTTTTTGATCGATAGTAGTTTTTTGGTGTTTACTCGAATATCACATAAGTGCTTCTTCTGAAATCTCTATTGGGTCATAATGCAATAGAATTGGCTATAGAGAAAGTGAATTGGGGGTCGAAACCTTTCCAGCTCTATAATTACCTATTACAGGATTCAAATTTTTTCAATATGATGGAATCAACAATGAAGGAATTGCGACTGAAGAATAATAGAAGGGGTTTTTTGAGTGTTATTAAAGGAACTAAATCTGAGATGAGGAAATAGCCAGAAATAATGCTAAGAGGATATCAGAAGCAATCAGGAAGCTAGAGAAAAAATTCATTCCATGAAGGCGACTTTTCAGTTGGGGGACTCTCTATGGATGATCGGGAAGTCTTGATAGCTTATAAAAAAGTTGAGGTCTCTATATCGAAAAGATGAGAGTATTTGGTTCCAGAATTCCATCCATAAGGATTAAAGACAGCGATCTCAATTCGAGGTTTTTCCATATTTGTGCCTTGATTATGAGAAGGAAAAACACCATAAAATCTTTTAAAGTTGGAGATAGGGTTACCTTAGTCCCGATTTTAATAAGGAGTAGTATATATGATTATTTCAAGTATGCATACAACAGTTCTTCTTCCTTGGAAGTAGAAGGGATGGACCTGAATTTTCCGAAACTATCGAATGAATAAGCTACAGGATTAGAAAAACCCTTCTCAGAGGATGAAATATGGGACGACATTTTTCCTTGAACAGCAACAAAGCTCCTGGATTGGATGAACTAAATATGGGATTCTTCAAGAAATTTTGGCTAAATCTCAAGGATCTTATATTGAAGTTTTTAAAGGATTTTTCTCGGGCAAAAAGTGGGAAAACGAGAATAATCACACATTCATTACTATGATTCCGAAAAAATTAAATTCAATAGCCTTGGAGGATTTCAGGCCGATCAACCTTGTGGTTGGTCTTTATAAAATATTGTCTAAAGTTCTGTCTCAGAGGCTTAGATCATGTATTAATTCCATTATCAACCCAGTTCAATTTGCTTTTATCTCGGGGAGGCAAATTCTTGACTATCCATTTTTAACTAATGAATGAGTTGATTATTGGAGAAAAAAAGGGCTTCGATTTCCATAGGGCATATGACAATTGAATGGACTCTTCTCTTCCGAACCTTGAAGGGAATGGACTTTGGTGATTCGTTGGATAACGTGGATTGTTAAATATACATCTTCTGCCTCTATCTCAATACTTGTTAATGGGCCGTCTATGGAAGAGTTTGAAATGACAAGAGGGCTCTTTCAAGGTTGTTCCCCTTCTCCGTTATTGTTTAACTTGATGGGGTAAGATGTTAAACCTCATGTTGGCAAAGGCAGTATCCTCGAATTTGTTTGATGGATTTCGAATTGGAAAGCCAAACGATTCATTCTTGCTTTCTCATCTCTAATTTGCATATGATCTTATTATTTTTAGTGGTGCCTCCAAAAATCAAATTAGAAATGTAAGAGTGCTTTGTGTCTTTGAATTTATGTTAGGTCTACAACTGAATTTTTCTAAGAGAAGGTTGTTTGGGATAAATGTTAATGAAGAAACTCTGAAAAATTAGGCTTGGCAGCTGGAGTTTCGGTAGTTCAATTCCCCTCGGAATACTTTAGCCTACCTCTGGGGCACAAAAGGAATTTGATATGTATTTGTGTTAGCATGATGTTAACATGATGAGTCAGCAATAATAATGTTAGTACTGCAGCGTGTATGAGTTTAGACTGCATGGGATTATTAGTTAAATAGTTAAAAGCTTCTTAATGTTGTTAATAGCGGTTAAGGTTGTTAGGTTGTTAACATGGTTAGTTGTGAAATCTGTTAAGACTTACATTAATCATTAGAAGATGTATATAAACAACAACAACCTTGTATTTTGTATAGTTCTTTTACACAATCAATATACAAGTGTTATACTTTCTTTACTAAATACTTGTTGCTCGTCTCTTATTCATGCTCACCTTGCCATTGATGGCCCCTTTCTCACATGGTATCATTTGCCGAATGGTTCTAGAGCCACAGTAACTGCTTTCGCCGCCGTTAATGATCGTATCTAAGAGTTTTTGATGGTCTTGCTATCGATCATCTTTCCGACTCAGTTGTGTGTTGTTTGAGTCAAAGCTTTGCAGATTCAATTTGGTAACTTCAAACTTGAATTCTTGTTTTTTTTTCCTGTTATTGGTTAGGGATTGAGATTCGTTCTTGAGTTTTGGTTTCATGCGTTTGTTTGTTGCTAGAATTTTGATTAGTTTGTTTGGTTGGGGTTTGAAATTTGCTGGAATTTGCTAAAATTTGCGTCGTTCTTCTTCTCAATTGTCGATTTCCTCTTTCTCTATCAACGTCACATATATTTGATCTGGAAATCATCTCTTGAAACCCTAGCTGTTAGCACATCTTTTTCCTCCTACCTTTTTTCGTTCTTTTTCATATTCTTTTAGTCAACACAACAAAAGGAAAAGAAGTAATGGTCGGTAAAGGAGAAGGTCCAGCTATCGAAATCGATCTCGGAACCACTTATTCTTATGTTAGGGTTTGGTGAAACGACCGTGTTGAGATCATCGCCAATGATCAAGGTAACAGGACGATGCCTTCTTATGTCGGTTTTACCCCATGAATCCCATCAATATCATCTTCGATGCAAAGAGATTGATTAGACGTAGATTCATTGGTTCTTCTGTTCAGAGTGATATGAAACTATGTCCATTCAAGGTCATTGCTGGACCTGGTGACAAACCAATGATTGTTGTTACTTACAAGGGTGAAGAGAAACAATTTACTGTTGAGGAGATCTCTTCAATGGTACTCATAAAGATACGTGAAATTGCTAAGGCTTACCTTGGGTCTACAGTTAAGAATGTTGTGGTTACCGTCCCTGCATACTTCACTGACTCTCAGCGTCAGACAACAAAGGATACTGGTGTCATTATTGCTCGTAATGTCATGCGTATCATCAATGAACCCACAGCTGCGGCTATTGCTTATGGTCTTGACAAGAAGGCTACCAGTGTCGGTAAAAAGAATGTATTAATCTTTGATCTTGGTGGTGGTATTTTTTATGTCTCTCTTCTAACCATTGAAGAGGGTATCTTTGAAGTGAAAGCCACTGCTGGGGACACTCACCTTGGAGGTGAAGATCTTGATAACATAATGGTGAACTACTTTGTTCAGGAGTTTAAGAGAAAGAACAAGAAGGAGTTACCATTGCTCGGGGTGAGTGGAAACAAATTTTGTACGGGTTCCCATTGGAAACAAATTTTGTTCAAACTAGTTTTTTATGGATGTGCTATATGGTGTTGCATTACTGGTTATTTTGGATTGTGCATCATCATGATTTGTTGCTTCTATCTCAAAGTTTCATGGGACTTGAAAGCTTCACAGTCAAGTGTCCAAGGGAACAAATATCAAGGAACCTTGTATAAGAGGATGAAGAAGAAACAAATGAAGGTGAATAAGAAGAACAAAAGAAAGAAAACGGAATGAGGCATCGGCACTTCCGATTCAAGTCGAACGGAAGGAGGCATCGACACTTCCGATTCAAGTCGAACGGAAGGAAGTATCGGCACTTCCGATTCAAGTCGAACGGAAGGATGTATCGCACTTTTGTTTCAAGTGTCCGTCTTTTCATCAAGAAGTACATAAGTGGTTGATGGTTTTACTAAACCCTTGGCTAAAGCAGCATTTGAAGTTTTTCAATAGGAGATTGGAGTTCAAGGATGTTCAAGGTCAGAAGAGCATAAGAAGAAGTAGAGGGAATGTTAGCATGATGAGTCAGCAACAATGTTGTTAGTACTGCAACGTGTATGAGCTTAAACTGCATGGGATTATTAGTTGAATAGTTAGAAGCTTCTTAATGTTGTTAATAGCAGTTAAGGTTGTTAGCATGGTTAGTTTTGAAATCTATTAAGACTTACATTAGTCATTAGAAGCTGTATATAAACAATAGCAACCTTGTATTATGTATATTTCTTTTACACAATCAATATACAAGTGTTATACTTTCTTTACTAGATATTTGCTGCTCATCTCTTATTCATGCTCACCTTGCCATTGATGGCCCCTTTCTCACAATTTGGGAACTTATTATACATAAATTTTATGAGAAGCTTGCTAACTAGAAAGCTTCGTCTCTTTCTCTGGCAGGCATATTAGTGCTTTTGAAATATGTTCTTGCAACCTTGCCCATGTACTATCTTTCAATTTTCAAATTACCCGCTTCCATGTATAAGAAACTAAAAACTATTATGGCTTTGTTTTTTTAGGGTGGTAACATGGAGAGGAACTGTATACATTGGATTAATTGGCCTTTGTTTTGCCTTGTAAAGGACAATGGAAGCTTGGGTATTCCAGAACTTGCTTTACTGAACCAAGCTTTGGTTAGGAAATAGACTTGAAAATTTGGAACGGAACCAAAATCACTATGGAAAAGGTTGATTTGTTACATGTATAATATTGACTGCTAGTCTTTGTTTCTTGATAAAGCTCAATTTTCGCAATCTTCTTGGATTCTGAGAGGTGTGGTGAATAACTGCATCAAGGAGGATAATTTTGGTATTAGTTTCCGAAATCACATACAAGCTCGCGCCAGGAATGATAAGGCTATCTCATTTTGCTTTAATAAATGGATTAGGGATGCTCCTTTAAAAGACTAGTTCCCTAGAATCTTCACTATTTCTTTGAATAAAGAAGGGAAATTTACGGAGTTTGGAAAATTTGACCCGCTAGGGTGGACATGGGATATCCAACTTAGAAGGAACCTATCCGATTGGGAATTAGAACTTTGCCTAAATTTCATGTCCTTACTTAGCAGTTGTTGTATTCAAGGTGTTAATGACGGCTTGTCGTGGACTGATAATGGGAAAGGATGCTATTCGGTTAAATCTTGTAGGAAAATACTATTAAATATGGATGGTAAGGATCCCTTCTTGTGTGTGGGGTTGGTTTAGCTCCACCAAGGGTGGAGGCTTTTTTGTGGCAGGTGATTCATAAGAGGATAACTGTAAGGACGTAATTATTTAAGTGTGGTGTTCCAGGTGTAATTGATATTTCCTGCCTTTTTTGTAGGCAGACTCTAGAATTTGTATTGCACCTGTTTCTAGAGTGTAATATTGCTTGGGGACTTTGGATCCATTTTCTTCGATTCTAGGATATTTCTATTGCTCTTCCAAATGATATGTCCTATCTCTTGTCTGCTTGGAATTCCTTTGTCCCTCTATCTTGGATTTGGGCTTTCATCCTGGGGGTTATTGTTTAGTCATTATGGAAATTAAGAAACTCTATTGTCTTTGAGGATGGTATCGTTGATCTGTCCCACCTATGCTTCTTGGCTAGGTTTCACCTCGCTTCTTGGTTCTCGACCAAGCATTTAGAGACCACTTCTGTTAGACACCCTAATTGGGGATCCATCTATAGCCGATTTTTGTGTTTCATTTAAGAAATGTCCTCAGTTGTCCTCGTCCTCATCGGGGTGGTCTCCGCCACTAGATGGCTCCTTGAAGTTGAATGTGGACGGAGCTGTTGGTAGGGACTGGAGTAAGGGGCATTAGGGGTTTAATAAAAAAAACTCAGGTGCAAACTCTTTCTTCCTTCTCGGAGTTCATTGGATTTGGTCCTCCAGCTTTGGCAGATCTAAAAACGATTAGAACTGGTCTCTCTTTATTTTCCTCTTTGAATTTGGGAAATAATGATTCGTTGATTCTGGAAAGTGATTGCAGTAGGACTGTTGAGTGGATTGAGAATCCTATCGGTTGTCCAATGGTCTTTGAAACTCTTGTGAAGAAGATTGTGGTTATTACTAGAAAAGACAAGAGTAATATTCGTCTTATTCCTATAAGCGCAAATAAGGAGCTGGATAAGTTGGCTAAAGAGGGAATTGGATAATATAGGATTTTGATGGTGGTTTTATGTTATAGTTGATTTTTGTTCTATGGTGTACTTTGTTTTCTTTTGTACTCTTGGAGTTTTTCCCCTTTTCTAATAAAACTGAAAGCACTCTTTTCTCCCTTCCGCTTTTTGTCGCAATTTCTATTTCTAGTAATTATGGAGTGAGTTTTTAATGAGGCCTCTAATTCTTATAAAAACTTATAAAAAATAGAAGAAAAAAATACTGCTACTAACTGAGGATGGAACAGCTCAAATAATTAATCAAGCATAGCCAGCCGTGGAGTCCACGTATACTCTATGCATCCTCATATTCAGCTGCTTGATGGACACCACCACTTCGATAGGATTATTGAATCAGTTGTCATCAATCAAGTTGGCAATGTTGCTTACTTGGACTTGGAAAACAACTCTATTTCACTAAATGATCTTTTCTCTGTACATACTTTCAATTGATATGAAACTCTTAATGGGAGTTCAAATACATCGGGTCCCATGCACATAAACATCAAAGTCTGGTTATAGCCACGGCAACTTTCTATTATTCTTTCAAAGGAATACTTCTAAATAAAGCTTAGTTCATTCTGTTCCCTTCACAAAATACATTTACATGATCAAAATTGCACACCAGTCTTCTCAAGAGGCAGTACATCAGTAAACATTTTGTGCAAAAGAATGGTTACAAATCAAATAATATGTCACAGTACTACTTGGCACGCAACATTTTAATGTGAAATCAGTCACCAGATGCAGAAAAGTATACAAAACCTGATATTTTTCTCTTATGATTTACATCCCAGTTGAGGATGTACGATTTATCCTCTGTGCACCTAATCTGGGAGCAGCTGCTTTAGTTCCTCTGCCTCTTCCTGCTGATAAAGGCTTTGCCTTGGTTATTGGAGGGGGAGCTGCAATAGCTGCCCAGGGATCATCATCATCAGCTGTTCCAGCTGTCTTTAAATTCAATGGTTTAGAAGCAGATTTTGGAGGAGGAACTGCTATCGAACCCCACAAGTCATCATCTTCATCTTTATTCACCTTCACTGTACTTTTTGGTCTCACACTCGTAGAAGCTAAAGCAAAGAAAAAAAGAACAGACCACCAAAAATGTAAATCTTCAAATTTTCGCAAATATCTGTGTTGAACAAAAATATTTGACCATCTAGGACCATAAACGTTAAGACTAGAAAACTCATTTCCTACATTACACAATTGAATGGAGAATAATTGGAGAATACTACCTTGTGGTTTAGGCTGAGAAACTGGTTGTAAAACAGGACGCTTCTGAGCCGCATGAATATTTTCCAAAACTGGAGATGGCTTTGGCTCATCAAGGGGTTCAATATCATCCCATCCATCTTTGTCACTGTCATGTTCTTCATGAATGCCATTTTCAATTTCTCCCCAGCCGTCAGTTGAAGTAGGAGATGGAGCCATGGGTTGATCTGCAAAATCTGTACTAGAACTTACACGGTGGACTGGCGCTGTACTTGGAGTTTCTATTAGTCCTAAGATTGTCATAGAAAAACAACATTAGAAATGGAATTATTAAATGAACACAAACAAATAATCAGGCAAAAGACCAAAAGTGCAGAGCATTGTATCAACTTATTTCCAATATATAGGCTCCAAATTTTATTACTTGTATAATCGCAATAAATACCTGGGCTGGATGTAGATGTTGTTATAGTTGCAGGCGTGACGGAATTGGCAGTAGCAACTGGAGCTTGATCAGAAGCTTTGCCTTTAAGAGTCAAGGAACTCATGGCCCATCTGCAAGGTCAGAATCCTAGCGGTCAACAACAACAATTACAGCCTTGCCAAAGAGATACATCATCCATCAAGTGGCTATAAAATTTTTGGGACATTCCTTTATAAATCATTTAACTAAAATAGCTGTAAATTTAATGCGCCGTACAAGAAAACAAATTGTAATATAAAAAAGGTCATTGATTCCATCTGAAGCATCTTGTAGCATGATAACAAGCAATATTGCCAAATACAGCAAATATTTTCAACTAACCCCAGTAAACCGGCATTTCCTGGCATTGATGAAATCCCCAAACTTCCAGCGTCAGCTGTATCTCCAGCATTACTCTGTGAAGAATAATAGATAAAAAGCATTAGTATAAGAAAATACCATACCATAGATGATATTGAAGATTTCTTAGAACAGCTGTTAAAGATTAAAATATCAAAAAAACTTGCGCTTGTATAAAGATAATAGTTTAGTTTGATACTGATACTAGTCAACAATGTTTGATATGCCTTCAGTATTGGCTGAACCAAAACATCCACACTAAAACCTAAGATAAAGAACAACAAAGAAAGAGATAAACGCATAAAAGCAGCAAGACATATTTTGAATAAAAAAAAGACATAATTTTTAGCCTGTTCAAACATAGCCATACACTGGTTAAAAGCAACAGGATGAAACCATATCAATCCTTGCAGAGCCGAGAGATAAAATTGCTTTTAATAAGTTTTAGCCTGTTCAAAACATGATTTACTGCTTAGAATCTACAAACCAAGAGTTACAAAATGTTTCATTAAGGAGGGAAAATTTATATTGAATGCATTAGAATGCTGATCAAGAGAAGAAGCAAATGTTATAGATAAATAAATGAAGTATTATTTTTTCTGTGCTTGATAGCACTGAAGTTACATTAAAGTTTGCATTTGCCTAAATTCAATGAAATGAAATGAAATGAGAGAGATGAAAGCATCTTAAAGCTCACCTTCTCGTTACACTGCTTCACTATCTGTAAAAATTGATCAACTGCTTGAAATGCCTTTGACCTTACATTTTTTTTGATAGGAAAAGTAGGTCTCATAAAAACCTCCTTCTAAGTAGCCCTTACCATGAGGTCAGAACCTACTAGGGGAAGGAGGAATAGAGAACCTTAATATATTGATAATGTAAAAATTACATAAAACTAGAACCACTCCTTTAAGATACATAAAACTTAAGCACACTCTTATAACGCCTTGATTAAAAACCTCCGAACTCAGTACTAAAAAAGTGACCCACTACCCAATCCCCTCCTTTGCAAGCAAATCTGCCTCGCAATTACATCTTCTCGGAATCCACCTCACAATGACCTCATACTCAGAAACCGCATCCGCAATATCCTTGACAAAATTTAAAAGAAAAGGAGGAACTGACTCCTGATATTTCAACCACTCCACAGCTAGCTTGCAATCAGATTCAATAATAAGCCTTCCCTTCAATACCCATTCTGATGACACAAAGATGTCTATTCCTCTTTTGATAGCTTTTAACTCTGCTAAAATAATAGGAGTAGGCCCTATTTTTTCTGAAAACGACATCAATTTAATCCGATTCCAATCTCTAAGAATGCCCCCAATTCCTGCTAACAACCCAACCCTACTAACTGCTCCATCCACGTTAAACTTAAAAAAATCGACTGGAGGAGGACTCCAGTAAACCACAGGCCTGTTCGAATCAAGAGAAGCTGAAATATTATCAGCCAATGAAGGATCACCAATTATAGAGTCCACTTGAATAGAGGATAAAGGATACTTAGCTAGGAACCATTTCGCAAGCCTTAACCTGACTGTGAAAAACATGAGGATGTGTCCAGCTTGCCTCTTTCAAAACAATTTCGTTTCTCATCTTCCAAATCGACCATAAAACAGCCCCCGGAATAAACTTCCACATATTAGAAAATGGCCTAAGAACAGACCATGAAATTAGAATTGATGAAGGATCAGTAGGTAAGGCTAACTTGATACCCCAGTAGGCTATGATTCTGTTCCATAGTACCCAGGAAAACTGGCAGTAAATAAACAGATGCTGAACTGATTCCTCTGCTTGATTGCAAAAGGGGCATAGAGAGTCCTCCCCTAAGTGAACCCCCCTTTTCTTCAATTCCCCTCTAACCGCTACTTTATTAAGTGATAGTTGCCAAAGGAAAACCTCTACTCTAGGAGGAACCAGACCTTGCCAAACACATTTGTTCCACCTAAAGTTATCCTCATCCACCTAAAGTTAGCCTTTGACCTTACATCACTGTTAAAGAGACGAGAGCACATTCTTCATGTACACTGATGGATGATAATAAAATGTCGACAATAAACAAACCATTCAAGAATAACATTACCTGTCAGGATCAATAACGAGTACAACAATATTTGGAAGAATCCGAGTAGCAATCTCAGTCATGTCATAATAAGAACTGGTGGCACATAAAGCCATAACTCCTGCCACAATATAATTACATGTTAGTTAGATGACACCAAAACCCCAAGAACACATGCTTTGAAAAACAAAGAAAGCATTTTAAAAACCAAGAGTATCAGAAACTAGCCATAAACAAGTATACCTGCTCCTCGGGCAGGAGAGAAAGTATCACGTAATGCACGGACCGTAAATGCATTTATCAAAACTCTCTTCCGTGTCTACAATGTTAGGCCAAGAGATGACAATTTTTCAACAGGAGACAATTAATTGAACTTTAACAGGGAACATATAACTAGACACTAAAAGAAAGAGGATCACCACTAAACACTATTATCTCAGATGTCAATTTTAGGTCACTCAAAATCTAAACAAGGATTGGCCAAGAATCAACTAACCCCTTCGTTTAGGTAACTTGCAATGTTTCCTAGCAATATGGTGGTATTTGTCCTAATTGCAGGCTCTTCATCGACCTGCACAACATTGCCAATGTATAAAGAAGATTATTTAGCATGAGAGAACCTCAAACAAATTAAATGAGAACTTAACTTTCTTAAAGTAGTATATATGGAGAAGCCTTGGTGATTTTCATAAACTGGTAATGCAGACCTAAGGTTATAGGATCAGAAACACTTGGTTGTTTCTGTTATTCCTTTTAAGTCACATATATATATAGACCGACCAGAAATAAAATAGAACATTATACCACATGATGCATACCTGTAACTTGGAAAGATATTTCAATAATGAGCCTGACAAAGTACGTTGCGAAAGCTGCAATGCAGAATAAGACAACACA